GAGGGAGACCGCTCGAAGCAGCCACTGGGTGGACAGTGCGGCCATTCTCAGGGCGGAAGGCCTTGCATTTGGGTTCAGACAATGTTGAATTAGAGGTGCCCACGTGGAGGCAGCTGGGTGATGGGTCCGGGAATCAGAACGGAGACAGCACCTGGGCAGGCGACGGTCACTGAACTCAGGTGTCAATGAAACTGCCCAGTGATTGGAAAAGTGGCCTGAGAGCAAAACCTGAGGAAGCCAACATTTCAAGGCCTCGTTAGTGATCGCACCCCGCTCTGAAGCAGCTCATTAGGCGCTCAGTGAGCTCTCCGGCTGCCTTCCCCACGTGCTGTTGGGAAGCAGCAGCCTGCTGTAGTGTGGCCAGGGGAGAGCCCGGCCAGGGGAGAGCCCGGCCAGGGGCGAGCCGGCCAGGGGAGAGCCCGGGCAGGGGGGAACCCGGGCAGGGGGTAGCCGGCCAGGGGAGAGCCCGGCCAGGGGGGAGCCCGGCCAGGGGGGAGCCCAGCCAGGGGGGAGCCCGGCCAGGGGAGAGCCCGGCCAGGGGGGAGCCCGGCCAGGGGGAGCCGGGCCAGGGGGGAGCCGGGCCAGGGGGGAGCCCGGCCAGGGGGAGCCGGGCCAGGGGAGAGCCCGGCCAGGGGGGAGCGCAGCCAGGGGGGAGCCCCCCAGGGGAGAGCCCGGCCAGGGGGGAGCCGGGCCAGGGGGGAGCCGGGCCAGGGGGGAGCCAGGCCAGGGGGGGGCCGGGCAGGGGGGAGCCGGGCAGGGGAGAACCAGGCCGGGGGGAGCCGGGCAGTGCCGCCTGCTCAGGAGCTGGGCTCTGGCCGGAGCTGGGGCCGAGGCTCCCTGAGCCCCTGGAGCCACAGCTCTCCGAGCGCTTTGAGGAATTCTTGTTAATTAGCTCCTGCCCTCAGAGAAGAGAGGAGGGGACAGTCTAGCTCCTGCCCTCAGAGAAGAGAGGAGGGGACAGTCTAGCTCCTGCCCTCAGAGAAGAGAGGAGGGGACAGTCGTGTGCTCCAGGATCAGCACCTGGAGAGGTTATTTCCAGCCACGGGCCAAAGGCACAGGGAGAAATCAAACGGGAGGGTTTTAGCCTAGAGATCCCCCCAGCATGTGTGTGGGCGTGGGGCTGACACCAGGACATTGTGTCTGCGCAGGGTCACCAGCAGGTCCCCCTGGGGCTCATGCCCGGGAAAGCTGCCCGCTGTGCTAGGGCTAACCCCCCCCCCCCCGATTGCTGGCAGCACGGGCCCATGAACAGGCCCCTGGGGGTCACATGGACACTGTGCAGCACAGCTCCTGGACCACGAAGCCAGGGGAGGTGGGAATGGGGGAGGTGGGCAGCTGCTGTGGGACCCCAGGGAAGGGGGTTCCCATGGGGGGTTGATGCGACTCTCCCCTGGCTCAGGCGCTCAGTAGAGGCTTTCTGAGTGAGTGATCTAAAAGCCTGGTCATCCCTGCAGTGGGCAGGGTGTCCTGGGCAGCTGTGGCCTCGCCCTTCAGGCCCCGGCGAGATGACCCAAAGACGCTGGTACCAGAGGCAGCTCTGTCCCAGATGAAAGTGCTTGTGTGGATGGTCTGGCAGGCAGGGCGCTGCTGTGGGGGCGGGGCGGGGCGTCTCCGAGGGCCGGTGCCCGCGGCAGGGCAGACAGGTGCTCGGGACACTTCCGCTCCAAACACTGCAGCTGGGCCCAGACCTCAGTGGGCGTGGCGGCTCCACGGGAAGGCCACGGCGCCTGCTCTAGGTGGACACGGTCCTGCAGGGAGCACGTTCGTGGGAACTGGCGAAAGGTGCCCTTCCTCCTGGCAGGTGGCCCGGGCCAGGTGCACGCATGGAAGGGAGCCCGGGCTGGGTCTCAGTCCACCTGCACTCGCTGGAGTCGCGCGGTGAAGACCCTGCACCCCTGTACACGGCTGCCCCGCTCACACCCTCCCCCAGGGCCGGCCGTGCTCCTGTGCCGGCCTCGGCTCCCAGGGCCCCGTGTTTATCCTGGGTTACAGGACGTGGGGCGCTCGGCTCCCACAGCCCCGTGTTTATCCTGGGTCACAGGACCCCAGGTGCTCGGCTCCCACAGCCCCGTGTTTATCCTGGGTCACAGGACCCGGGGCGCTAGGCTCCCACAGCCCCCGTGTTTATCCTGGGTTACAGGACCCGGGGCGCTCGGCTCCCACAGCCCCGTGTTTATCCTGGGTCACAGGACCCCAGGTGCTCGGCTCCCACAGCCCCGTGTTTATCCTGGGTCACAGGACCCCAGGTGCTCGGCTCCCACAGCCCCCGAGTTTATCCTGGGTTACAGGACGTGGGGCGCTCGGCTCCCACAGCCCCGTGTTTATCCTGGGTCACAGGACCCGGGGCGCTCGGCTCCCACAGCCCCGTGTTTATCCTGGGTCACAGGACCCGGGGCGCTAGGCTCCCACAGCCCCGTGTTTATCCTGGGTCACAGGACATGGGGCGCTCGGCTCCCACAGCCCCGTGTTTATCCTGGGTTACAGGATGTGGGGTGCTCGGCTCCCACAGCCCCGTGTTTATCCTGGGTCACAGGACATGGGGCGCTCGGCTCCCACAGCCCCGTGTTTATCCTGGGTCACAGGACATGGGGCGCTCGGCTCCCACAGCCCCGTGTTTATCCTGGGTCACAGGACCCGGGGCGCTAGGCTCCCACAGCCCCGTGTTTATCCTGGGTCACAGGACCCGGGGCGCTAGGCTCCCACAGCCCCGTGTTTATCCTGGGTCACAGGACATGGGGCGCTCGGCTCCCACAGCCCCGTGTTTATCCTGGGTTACAGGATGTGGGGTGCTCGGCTCCCACAGCCCCGTGTTTATCCTGGGTCACAGGACATGGGGCGCTCGGCTCCCACAGCCCCGTGTTTATCCTGGGTCACAGGACATGGGGCGCTCGGCTCCCACAGCCCCGTGTTTATCCTGGGCTGCAGGATCCGGGGTGCTCGGCTCCCACAGCCCCGTGTTTATCCTGGGTCACAGGACATGGGGCGCTCGGCTCCCACAGCCCCGTGTTTATCCTGGGCTGCAGGATCCGGGGTGCTCGGCTCCCACAGCCCCGTGTTTATCCTGGGTCACAGGACATGGGGTGCTCGGCTCCCACAGCCCCGTGTTTATCCTGGGTTACAGGATGTGGGGTGCTCGGCTCCCACAGCCCCGTGTTTATCCTGGGTCACAGGACATGGGGCGCTCGGCTCCCACAGCCCCGTGTTTATCCTGGGTCACAGGACCCGGGGCGCTCGGCTCCCACAGCCCCGTGTTTATCCTGGGTCACAGGACCCCAGGTGCTCGGCTCCCACAGCCCCGTGTTTATCCTGGGTCACAGGACCCAAGGTGCTCGGCTCCCACAGCCCCCGAGTTTATCCTGGGTTACAGGACGTGGGGCGCTCGGCTCCCACAGCCCCGTGTTTATCCTGGGTCACAGGACCCGGGGCGCTAGGCTCCCACAGCCCCCGTGTTTATCCTGGGTTACAGGACCCGGGGCGCTCGGCTCCCACAGCCCCGTGTTTATCCTGGGTCACAGGACCCGGGGCGCTCGGCTCCCACAGCCCCGTGTTTATCCTGGGTCACAGGACCCGGGGCGCTCGGCTCCCACAGCCCCCGTGTTTATCCTGGGTTACAGGACCCGGGGCGCTCGGCTCCCACAGCCCCGTGTTTATCCTGGGTCACAGGACCCGGGGCGCTCGGCTCCCACAGCCCCGTGTTTATCCTGGGTCACAGGACCCGGGGCGCTCGGCTCCCACAGCCCCGTGTTTATCCTGGGTTACAGGACGTGGGGCGCTCGGCTCCCACAGCCCCGTGTTTATCCTGGGTTACAGGATGTGGGGCGCTCGGCTCCCACAGCCCCGTGTTTATCCTGGGTTACAGGACCTGGGGCGCTCGGCTCCCACAGCCCCGTGTTTATCCTGGGTTACAGGACCCTGGGGCGCTCGGCTCCCACAGCCCCGTGTTTATCCTGGGTCACAGGATGTGGGGCGCTCGGCTCCCACAGCCCCGTGTTTATCCTGGGCTGCAGGATCCGGGGCGCTAGGCTCCCACAGCCCCGTGTTTATCCTGGGTCACAGGATGTGGGGCGCTCGGCTCCCACAGCCCTGTGTTTATCCTGGGTCACAGGATGTGGGGCGCTCGGCTCCCACAGCCCCGTGTTTATCCTGGGCTGCAGGATCCGGGGCGCTCGGCTCCCACAGCCCCGTGTTTATCCTGGGTCACAGGACCCGGGGCGCTAGGCTCCCACAGCCCCCGTGTTTATCCTGGGTCACAGGACCCGGGGCGCTCGGCTCCCACAGCCCCGTGTTTATCCTGGGTTACAGGACGTGGGGCGCTCGGCTCCCACAGCCCCGTGTTTATCCTGGGTTACAGGATGTGGGGCGCTCGGCTCCCACAGCCCCGTGTTTATCCTGGGTTACAGGACCCGGGGCGCTCGGCTCCCACAGCCCCGTGTTTATCCTGGGTTACAGGATGTGGGGCGCTCGGCTCCCACAGCCCCGTGTTTATCCTGGGTTACAGGACGTGGGGCGCTCGGCTCCCACAGCCCCGTGTTTATCCTGGGTTACAGGATGTGGGGCGCTCGGCTCCCACAGCCCCGTGTTTATCCTGGGTTACAGGACGTGGGGCGCTCGGCTCCCACAGCCCCGTGTTTATCCTGGGTTACAGGACGTGGGGCGCTCGGCTCCCACAGCCCCGTGTTTATCCTGGGTTACAGGACGTGGGGCGCTCGGCTCCCACAGCCCCGTGTTTATCCTGGGTTACAGGACGTGGGGCGCTCGGCTCCCACAGCCCCGTGTTTATCCTGGGTTACAGGACGTGGGGCGCTCGGCTCCCACAGCACCGTGTTTATCCTGGGTTACAGGACGTGGGGTGCTCGGCTCCCACAGCCCCTGTGCTTATCCTGGGCTGCAGGATCCGGGGCGGGTCCCAGGTCCTCCAGACACAAGGCTGGTTGGGAAGCTGGGTCTCTGCAGCCTGTGGGTCCTCTGGGGGCTCAGGCTCTGAAGGGCTCTTCTCTCAGTAATTTAGGGGTGCCGCCCGGCCGGGGGAACTGCCCGCTCACCGTGCCCCTGCCCTTCGACCTCATCTACACCGACTACCACGGCCTGCAGCAGATGAAACAGCACATGGGACTGTCCTTCAGGAAGTACCGGTGAGAGGGCGCCCCACGCCCATGCGGGCTGCCAGCTGTCTGGAGGCAGGAGAACTGCCTGGACCCCGGGTCTGCAGTGGAGGGAAGGTCTCCCTTCTGCGCCCCCTCCCCCACCCTCCTCCCAGGAGCTCCGTCTCCTGCTAACCCATAAACCCCCTGAGCAGCCTGTGTCCTCTGCTGCGTGGCGGCGAGGGGCAGGGCCACAGAGGAACTGCAGGGAGGAGTGGAAGGGAAGGGGACAGTGGCTGTGCTATGACCTCTGCTGTGGGGGCTCCGCACCGCCCCCTGGAGGAAGGCAGTCGCTCTGGTCTCTGCAGCCAGGGGGCCGCGGGGTTATTAAGCACGGGGAGCCCGGCTATTCATTACATTTGCTCCAGTCTCATGGACTGTCCCACATGATTTTATTAGCAAAAACAGTGACAGGCCATGTTATTGCTTTTATTATTAATGCATGTTCTCCATGCACCCGGTGCCTACCCCCACCGGTCACTGGGGGAATAGCGCTGACCTCAGCACTCTGTGGCCGATGCTGGGTCCCCGGGAAGGAGGTGGGGTGAGGGAGCTGCTTGTGGACCATCTGAGTCTCAGGCGCCCACCTCTGGGGCTGGGACAGGTGGAGGGGCTGCAGCCGTGGAGAGCAGCCTCATGGGGCAGAGCCTCTGCTCAGCTGGAAGTGGCCAGACTCACAGAGAGGACTTGGGGGTACCACCAGCCCAGAGGTGTGCCCGCGGCAGCCGCTGTTCCCCAGGGCCTTTTGCATTCAGCTGGGATGGGCCAGGCGCATCCCAGGGTGGCCAGCTTCTGGGCAGGGGGGCTGCGGACTTACATCACTGCCGCTCTCTGGAAAGTGCAAATCATACAGGGGCCCCTGGGGCAGTGTGGGGGACCCCACCCCAGGCAGCGCCTCCCGCCCTTGCCTCCCTTGGGGCCGCCGTAACAGCAGACAGTTTCTGAGTTAGTGGTCCATGGCTCAGGTGTACCCATATGAGACAGTTGGGCTCTTGTTGTCCCCGCTTGACAGATGGGAAAGCTGACCCAGAGAGGGTAAGATGCCCGCCTGCGGTCACACCGCTGGGCAGGGTGTGAGCCCACGCTCCGACCTCACATTGTGCTACCCTGACCAGCCACTGGCCCGTTACAGTGCCCACAGCTGGGGCAGCCCCGGCCCAGGGAGATGCTGGAGGTCGCTGACTGTGGTCCCTGGTCCCCTGGGGCAGGTGCCGCATCCGGGTCATCGACACCTTCGGGACAGAGCCTGCGTACAACCACGAGGAGTACGCCACGCTGCATGGCTACCGGACCAACTGGGGCTACTGGAACCTCAACCCCAAGCAGTTCATGACCATGTTCCGTGAGAGTCCAGCCACAGGGCGGGGGCGGGGCGGCGGGGGGCCCCTCGGGTTACCAGGGAGGCAGGCTCTCATCCGCCCTCTCTTTCCTTCCCCTGGCGCTGGGTGGGACCAGCCAGGCCTCAGCCTCCCCCAGCAAAGCCTCAGTCCCCTCCAGCAGGTGTGTGAGCCGGAAGGGACCCCCTGCTGCTGTCTGGGGAGTGGGGAGCGTGGAGGGAGCTGCCTGGCAGGGCTCCCAGCCTGGCTTTGGAGCAAGGTGGTGACCTTTCCAACCCCACGGACCTGGCCTTGGCCTCCAGGGCCTTCCAGAGAGGCCACAAGTGGACGGGTTGGTGAGGGCCGGACAGGCAAGCTTTCCTGGGGGGGGGGGGCAGATGTGGTGAAGTGGACGTGGCAAGAACGGGAAGGTTCTGGAAATGTAAGAACTCCAACCTTGGGCATGGTGGGAAGTGAGGCTGTGGGTAGAGCGGGGGCGCCTGGGTGTGGAAACCCTCAGAGTTGGGGTTCCCGCAACCAGTGCGATTGGAGCTGAGCTGAGCTCTTTTTAAAGAGCCTCTACAATAGAGAGGCACACCAGGCGCCCTCTTCACACGCCGCATGCTGGAACGAAACGAACCCTCTCCCGACAGCTCAGGGCCAGCTCTCTGTCTCCCGGCCCCTCTGGGGACTGTGTCCCTGGCTAAGTGGCCCCTCTCCGGTTGCTGTTTGAAGTGGTGCTCTCTCTCCTGGTCAGGAGGCTGTCAGCTGTCACTTTGAGTTGTCCGCATACCTGCCTCCGGCCGCAGCGGAGCATGTCATCGGCCCTTTGAAGGCTCTGGGTCAGATACGCACCCTGCCAGCCGGGTTCTGAGCAGGGTCCCGAGGGACTGGCCGCAGGGAAGGGAGCTGGGCTTTATTTCTCCTGTCAAATGGATGCGTCTCCTTAGGGCTCACTCTCCGGTTCTAGGGTGTCAGAGGCAGGCGCGGTTTCTGGGTACACGGGTAATGGCCTGATTGGATCCCAGAAGGTCGGGAAGGCGGGATCGTTCCTTGGAGCCCAGATGAAGAAACTGAGGCCCAGAGAGGTAGCGTGCCCCAGCTGAGGGCACACGGCTCTGTGGGGACCAGACTCCTTCCCCAGGCTGCGTGAGGCTTGTCCAAGGGAAGAGTGACTGTCCTAGCAGGTCGTCTGGTGATGTCGTGCTCCCAGGGGAGTGACTGGCGTGGGGTGGGTCCCCAGGAGCAGATTTCTGGAGGGAAGGGAAGTGGCAGTGGTGGTGACGCCCCAGCTGCGGACACGGCGCATGTGATGGCAGAGAGGACACCCCTCGGAGCTGAGAGCCCTGGGTGATCGCCCCTAGTAGGGAGGCTGTGAGCGAGGGTGCTGGTCAGAGGGACATGGGGTGGGGTCTTTTAGCAAAGGTTCCTAGTTTACATTGGACGGTACAGTCAAGGTTCACTGCAGGTTCTTGAGCCGGGAGCTGTCATGGAGAAAAAGGTTTTCTGGGGCACAGTAATTATTCTGGCTGACTGCCAGGGACCACAGGGGCCGTGGTGGAGGAGGGGCGAGCAGAGGGGAGGAGAGACTTCTGTAGTAAGGTACACTGAGGAAAGGAGGACTCATCCCGGGGTGGAGCCCTCTGGATGTGGCGGTCCAAACCTGGCAAACTCCTACTCATCCTCCAAAACCCCAAGTCAAGTGCTTCCTCTTTGCCATCACTTCCACTGATCCCCTCATCTCCTATTCCAGGCAGCATGTTTTTATAACTCTTAAATATACCTCATTCTATTAAAGCATTATATTGAATTAGATGAGAGTTATTTGCTAATACATTTATTTCCGCTGATAGATTATGAATCACTGAAAAAAGAGCCGCTGGCTGATTTATCTTTATTTCCCTAGCACCTATCAAAGTCCTCAGAAAATGTTAATTGGCTGAATAAATTAAGGAAAGAAAAAACAAAAGCCAGAGAGGCGTGCCAGTTGTAATGATATACCAGGCGCAGGAAGGATTCCCAGCAGACCTCTCTCCCATCGAGTGTGTCTGTTTCCCCACTGGGCTAACTGGGAGGCGGCTGCCACTCCCAGCCTTACCCCGCGCAGTGCTTAATGGTCCCTGTCACTTTAATTGGGTGCAGTACTCCCTGTCCCATGCCCACTCATTTAGCTAATTGTGTCCTGAACCTGTCTCTTCCGGTGGAGTTGGTGGAATGCGCTTCAGGGGACACAAGTCAGAGCGCGTTCTGCACCCTAACAGGGACCTGACCACAGTGGGCGGGCCGCACAGGGAGGACCCCAGAGAAGGCTCCTGGGGGGACAGGAGGTGGCCTGTGAGTGGGGCCCGGAGGCTGGGCAGGGTTTTCTCATCCCGGAAAGGGGAGGCGGGCGCTCCAGGCCCACAGACCAGCAAGGGCAGGTGGTGACATGTACGGGAGGGGGAAGCATCCACATCCCTGAACCAGCTCTCCCAGGCGCCAGGGACACAGAAGTGAACCCAACAGAGCTCCCGTCCTCGCGGGGCTTCTATTCTGACAATAACACACACATCAACATACATCACAGTGTCTGGTCAGCGGGCTCCGCGACAGAGCACGGGACGGGGGCGGGGAGTGACGAAGGTGCTCTGGGGACTCTGGCTGATGGCACTGCAGGGTTTGTGCAGAGGAGGGACCTGGCCGCATCTAAATTTGAAAGGCTGGCTCAGGAGGAGCGGCAAGGCCAAGGGGCCACAGAAATGGGGGCAGCGGCCACCGTGGTCCCGGCCAGGGTGGCAGTGATGGAGGTAACAGGGTCCTGCTTGCGGCAACCGGCTCTGCGATGAGAGGAAAGGGAGGAGCCGAAGCCTCAGCTGGAGCGAACGGGATGCGGACTGATGCGAGCAGGGTCCTGGCTGGGTCCCCGGGCCCTTGGCTGTGCCCATCCTGTGCCTCGGTTTCCTCATGTAAAACAAGCAAGGGGGGTAGGTGACCTCTCAGGCTCCCTTCTGCCCCACGGCGTTGTGGCCCTCTCGGGGAGAGGGAGACACCCAGGGCGTGAAGGATAATGTACCCCATCTTCCCACGAGACCCTTCACCCCCCAGCCCTTCCCCATCCCGGTGAAAAGGGGACCCCTCCCATGGGGCTGGCACGGCCCTGGCTGTCTGGTGACTCCCTCTGACCTGTGGTCTGGCTGCAGCGCACACCCCGGACAACTCCTTCATGGGTTTCGTGTCCGAGGAGCTCAACGAGACGGAGAAGCAGGCCATCAGGAGCGGCAAGGCCGGCGACATGGCCGTGGTGTACGGCAAGGACGCGAGCATCTGGAAGGTGAGCGGTCCTGCTGCCCCAGGGCTGCCCAGGGACGCCCCCACCCCCCAGCTCTGCACGGAGAGCGCCCCACTAACGGCTCAGGAAAGAGTCCCCAGCTGCTGTAGGAAACACTGGCGGGGGTGGGGGGTGGGGGGGTGGGGGTGGGGGCTGGTGATTTGCCCCCCTCCCGGCCCCAGCTCTGCCACAGACTCAAACGTCCTTCATCGAGGACTGTGACGTAACCCTTCACCCTCCCCGCAGTGGATCAACAAACATCGTAAGCCCCGTGAAGGGGGTCTAGGCTAGACTTGGGGGTTCTGTGGGACACGAGGCCATGGAGAAGGCAGGAGAGGACTAGGGACTGGATCCCCATTTTCAGGGCAGGGTCTGGAGAAACCTGCCCGACGGGAGGTTGTCTGCTCACCTGATCACTGACCTGTGCTCTCTTTTCTCTCTGCCCCCCTGCAACGAACGAACGAGGCAGCTCCAGGTACCGTGACTGTTTGCTGCCTGCTCCCCTCCCCGCTCCCCTCCCCCGCTCCCCTCCCCCGCTCCCCCTCCTATTCTTCCCTCCCCCTGCTCCCCCTCCAATTCTTCCCTCTCCCTGCTCCCCCTCCTCCCACTCCCCCTCCCCTGCCCCCTCTCTCACCCCCCTCCTCCCCTGCTCCTCCTCCCCCTCCTCCTCCTCTACCCCAACTCATACACTCTTGGTGGGGGTGGGACTCTGGAGGCCCCAAGGTGGGGAGGAGGGTGATGGGGTCGGCCTGGTGGGGCGCAGGGCAGCTCCTGGGCAGGTTACTGCCCTAAGGCAGGTGCGGGAGGTGAGGTAGTAATGACAGCGCCGGCCGTGGACACGGACTGAGCGACACCGCTCGCGGCGTGGGGCCGGCCTGTGGCCCTGCTCAGGTCTCGCCTCGTGTTTCAAGGTGGCCACTGCACGTGCACCCAGCCGGCAAGGGTGGGGACGTGCGGAGAAGGGCCTCATTCAGGGACATTTCCTGGATGTTAAACGTGACTCTTCCCCACGCTGCCCCTTGGTTGGGTCTCAGCCACGTGGCCCCGCCCGAGTTCAGGGGACACTGGATGTGGCTCGGGTCCAGGCCGCCATGTGCCCAGCTCAGTTCTGTGACTGAGGAAGGAGGAGAAGGGAGAGACGGGCGCCCGGGGTCTGAGCGGACACACACGGTGTGGCGGTGGCAGCTCTATCGTGTACCCAGGGCCGCTGTGTGCTCTCTGAGCTGCCACACGGTAGGGTGCCCACTACGAGGGAGAAGTAGGCGCCTAGAGTTAGCGTGAGCAGCTGGTAACAGCCGGAGCTGGGATTCGAACCACATCCACTCCAGAGCCAGACACTGAATCCGACTCTGCAGAGCCTCCCCTGTCGAAGCCTCGGCTAATGGCAGAGGGCAGCTCTGGGAGCAGGACGGAAGGTCCCAGACCTGGCCCGAGATGTCAGGGCCCGCTGTCGGGGTGGGGGAGGGCCCGGCGGTCCTTCTCATACGATGCCCCCAGCTGGCTACTGCGGAAGCCCAGGCTCCGGGGACAGGAGCACAGACTGCGTCTGCTGTGACCAGAAGACAGTTAAGAAACGTCCCCGAGGGAATGAGAGGTTATGAAGGAGGAGAAGGGTGTTAGTTCTCAGTCCGGGGCCTCTCGAGCTTCCACACAAAGACAGCTTTGCTTTGGTCCTCGTGACCCGGTCAGAGGTGGCCGGATGACAGCAGAATGCGAGCAGCGTCCTGGGACCAGTGCCGTCCGAGTTCAGGGCGCCAGGTGGCCGAGGAGGGAGGACTGCGTGAGGATCGCATCCCCGTGGGAGCAGCAGCCAGGACGGGGCAGCATTTCGGTGTTGTAGGAGGGACCCATCTTCTCCTGGCTCCCTGGGAAGCAGAGCTTGGGCTCTGGCTGGATGCTGCTGTTTCACTAGCACGTGGTGTCGCAGGGAGCAGAAGCAAGGGCCGGGGGCGAGGCAGCTGGTCCCGCGCAGGGCAAACCCTTCTCTCTGCTGGAGGGCACATCCAGACCTCGGGGAGCCACACCGGAGCCGGGAGGGTTTTCACACGGCGGGTTGCAACCCACGGCTAAGTCTGCAACCTACTCAGAGCTCTGGGTTTCTGCCCCTCCGCTTGATTGACGTATAATTGGCAAGGAAAAGTACATATGGGACACGATGGCCTGATGACGTGATGGCATGAGGCTGATTCACCCCCCACCCCCCACCCGGCACACTCCCCTGGGGAGTTGGGGTGAGCTCTTCAGCTTCACTCTCAGCAAGTTCCAAGTATACAGTACGGCGGGATCACCACGCTGCCCCCGAGCTGACTCGTCTTGTAACTGCACCTTCGTGCCCTCTGACCAGGGCCTCCCCGTTTTCTCACCCCGGGCACCCACCGTTGTGCTGTCCGTGTCGTGAGCTCAGCTTCCATCAGCTTTTGTGCGTAAGCGAGATGAGACAGTGTTTGTCTTTTTCTCTCAACTCAGAGTCTTCACTAGGCTTTTATTTTAATTTAATTTTTTTTTATCCTCACCGGAGGACATTTTTCCATTTTTTTGTTAGATAGAATGGGGGGCGGGGGAGGAAGAGAGAGAGAGAGAGAGAGAGAGAGAGAGAGAAACATCGACGTGGAAGGGACACATCGAGTGGCTGCCACCTGCATGACCAACCAGGGCCGGGGACAAACTGCAACCGAGGTACCTGCCCTTGGCGGGAACCGAACCCGGGTCTCTCCGGACCGCAGGCTGATGCTCTAACCGCTGAACCAAACCGGCCAGGGCTTCACTAGGCTTTTTAAATGAAATAGAAAGAATAGAGTTAAAGAGTATCGGAGGACCTTCTATGTGTTGAGAATAAAAATGGTTTTGTGAAACTTGACGTTTATATGCATGTGTGTGTGATGAGGTGGGAGGAAGTTGCTGAACAGTATGTGCCTCGTGAACGCGTGTGTGCATGTGTGTGCACGTCCTCAAGAGAATGTGTATTGTGCATGTGTGTGCACATCCTCAAGAGAATGTGTATTGTGCATGTGTGTGCACGTCCTCAAGAGAATGTGTATTGTGCATGTGTGTGCACGTCCTCAAGAGAATGTGTACAAGCGAATAGCACGTGAAGGGTCTGGGGAAGGGACACCAGGAGCTTGGTGGCAGCTGCCTCTGGTAATGGGGCTAGGAAGTTGAATGGGAGGGTTCGGTGACATTTTCTTCATACTTTGTTGATTTGATTTTTTTTCTATGGGTGTTATTCATTTTTAAAATAAATAGTTCTTTTATATTTAGTGTGGTTGCTGATGTATTTGGTTTCAAATCTACTATCTTGCTAGCTGATTTCTCTTTCTTTTTCTGGCCTTTTCTATGTTCTTTATTTTTTTTAATCTTCACCCGAGGACATTTTCCCATTTTTTGTTCAGATAGAGTGGGAGGGAGGGAGAGATAGAGAGAGAAACATCGACGTGAAAGAAACACATCGAGTGGCTGCCACCCGCACGACCCAACCAGGTCCGGGGACAAACTGCAACCGAGGTACGTGCCCTTAGCGGGAACCGAACCCGGGTCTCTCTGGACTGTAGGCCAACGCTAACCGCTGAGCCAAACTGGCCAGGGCTTTTCTATGTTCTTTTTCCTCTTATTTTCTTTTACATTTATATTTTTATTTTATGTATTTCTTCATATAAATTTATTTCTGGATCTACACTGATCTATATTTTTAAATCCAGTCCCTGTTAGCTGACTAATTATACTTTTATACTCTTAGTGGCTACCCTAAAGATTATAACATGCTTCCATGATTCATCAAAGTCTAATATAAGTCAACACTTTTACCTTTTGTGAGGTAATAAAAAGAACCTTAGAATATTTTAATTGTATCTCTCTAACTCAGTGATTTTCAACTGGTGTGCTGCAAGAATTTTTAAAACATGCAATTACTGATTATTTAGTCAGGGGCATTAACCTCTTTCCCCTTAGATTGTCAATAAAAAAATGACAACAGCTGCCCTAGCCGATTTGGCTCAGCAGTTGAAGTGTCAGCCTGTGATGGATTTGATTCCTGTCAAGGGCACGTACCTGGATTGTAGGTGAGAGAGAGAGAGAGAAACATCGATTGGTTGCCTCCCCATCGGGTATTGAACCTGAAACCTGGGTATGTGCCCTGACTGGGAATTGAACCCACCACCTTCTGGTATATGGGAGGATGCTCCAACCAACTGAGCCACACGGTCCAGGGCATTATACTCACTTTTGTGTGGATTTTCTCACTGAGGATAATTATTTTGAGATTCATCCATGTCATTGCATGTATCAATAGTTTATTCCTTTTAACTGCTGAATAATATCCCATTGCATGGATAAACCACACTTGTGTATCCATTCATCTATTAATGGACGTTTGGGTTATTTCCAGTATACCAATAAAGCTGCTATACACATTTGGTACAAATCTTTAATGGACATGCTTTCATTTCTCTTGGTTAAATACCTAGGAGTCGAATGGCCAGGTTATATCGTAAAACTATTCAACTCTTTAACTTTTTAAGAAAAGTGGTTGTATCATTTTGCAATCCTACCAGCAACAATGAGAGTTCCAGCTTCTTTGCAAGTTCATCAGTACTTAGATGGTCAGTCTTTTTAATGTTAGCCAACCCAAGGGACATACAATGATATCTTCTGGTGGTTTTAATTTGTAATTCCCTGGTAACTAATGACGTTGAAATATTTTTGTGTGCTTGTCTTCCATATATCTTTTTTTGCTGAAGCGTCTTTTCAAAAATGTTGCCCATTTAAAAAATTGAGTTGTCTGTTTTCTTATTATTGATTTGTTAGAGCTCTTTACATATTATGGATACGTCCTTTATCAAATATATGCTTTGCAAATATTTTCTTTGAGTCTGTGGCTTAACAGCATCTTGCAAAGAGCCAAAGTTCTTAATCTTAATGAAGTCCAGTATTTTATGGATTGTGCTTTTGGTGGTATATCTAAGAAATCTTTGTCTAACCGTAGGTCACAATGATTTATCTCTTATGTGTTCTTTTATAAGTCTTATATAAGTCTTTTATAAGTTCTAGGTTTTACAGTTAAGTCTATGATCCATTTTGAATTAACTTTTATATATGATGTGAAGGATGGATTGAAGTTCTGTTTCTTTTTTCACATATGGATGTCCAGTATTTCATGAGCATTTTTTGAAAAGATGGTTCTTTTTCCACGGATATACCTTTGCACCTTTGTCAAAAATGAGTCGACTGTACACATGTGGGTCTATTTCTGGGCTCTCTGTTCTTTCCATTGATCTATCTTGATGCCAATATCACGCCGACTTGATTACTGTAGCTTTATATTAAGTCTGGAAATCAGGTAATAGGCCTGCACACTTCTTCTTTTTTCAAAGTTGGTTTGTATATTCAAGGTCCTTTCTATTTTAAAATGAATTTTTAGAGTCAGCTTGTCAATTTCTACGAGAAAGCCTGCTGGGGTTTTGATTGGACTTTCATTGGTTACTTCTTTATTGTTTGGAGTTCAGGACAGTGAATATGAAAAACTGTAGAGACCATCTGAAGTCAAGGGTGATGGTCTTTTCCTCCAGAGAGGACTTACATGTTCGCTGGCTGTGGCCGGGGCCCGGCAGCCCCGGATCCCCTTCGTCAGTGGAAGTGATTGATGCGAGTTTACATGGACTCGGCCCCTGCAAGGGCCACCCTCGTCCTGGCCCGCCTCTCCTTCTAGGCGTAATTTCTCAAGAGTCCCGCAATGGACAGGGTTCCCCCTCTTCGTCAGGCCTTGGACTCTGCCTCTTGTCCCCCAGCTCTGCAGGGTGACCAGAAGCTCTGCTCTGCTAAGATGCTGCCCCTGGAATTAGCAGGTGCGCCCAGGGGGGAAACTGATCCCCCACGCTGGCCTCAGCATCTCCTGTCCTTCTTGTGGCTCGTGGCCTTGTGATCGTCTTTCTTCGTTAGGTTTTCAGGGCCTTCACAGGTGTTTCCACATGTCCCCGCCTTTCCTGGTCGTTCTCAGAGGCGGCTGGCCTGCATGGCCCACTGTGCATTCCCAGAAATGGGGGGGCCTTCTTATGAAAGTCTGGTTTGAGTTTCACAATGTCAATGTTAATTATTTCGACATCCATTGATAACACGCTAACAGAGCTGTGGTTACAGACTGAACCTGGGCCAAAGCTCCGTCTGTGTACCTCATGGCTCCCCAGCAGGGAGAACCACGGGTTTTTTTCTCTGAGCCCCCTCCCCTGCTCCACCCTCCTCCATGATCGGAAGGTGCTCTCATCGTCTCAGCTGTGCCTCCTCTGTTCTTCGAGCCTCCAGAGCTCCCAGAAGTCGAGCCCAGCAGCAGATCCGTGCTCCTCCCTGTTGAGGTCCTGCACTGACCACAGCTCCCGGCTCGGGGCCTTGGACGTAAAGCCAGATGGGTGCTCAGACGCTGAGGTGTTACCTATTCACCTAAGCTCTGCCTCCCCTTCTCCCCCCCCCCCCCCCGCAGGCTGGGTCTGTTTCTAAACCCCTTGGGCAGAAGGGGAAGTGGAACTGGATTTGGGATTCTTGGGTCTAGAGAGGCTGAGCCTTTGGCTAGTTTGCAGGGTTTTCACTCCTGGGTGTCCTTCATGAGGACAAGTACTCTGTCTTATCCCTGCCTTTCTCCCAGCACTGAGCTCAGTGCCAGTGCATAGCAGGTGCTCAATCAATATGTGCTGCAAGGATGGATGGACAGAGAACTGGATGGGTGGAAGGATGGATGGATGGAGAAATGGAGGGAGGGAGGGATGGGTGGGTGGGTGGGTGGATGGAGAAGTGGATGGATGGGTGGATGGATGGATGGATGGATGGAGAACTGGATGGATGGATGGATGGATGGATGGATGGATGGATGGAGAAATGAAGGGAGGGAGGGATGTGTGGATGGGTGGGTGGATGGAGAAGTGGATGGATTGGTGGATGGATGGATGGATGGATGGATGGATGGATGGAGAAATGAAGGGAGGGAGGGATGTGTGGATGGGTGGATGGATGGAGAACTGGATGGATGGATGGATGGATGGATGGATGGATGGATGGATGGATGGATTGGTGGATGGGTGGATGGATGGGTGGGTGGGTGGGTGGATGGGTGGGTGGATGGATAGATGGAGAACTGGATGGATGGATGGATGTAGAAGTGGGTGGATTGGTGGATGGATGGATGGATGGATGGATGGATGGATGGATGGATGGATGGAAGGAAAACTGGATGTATGGATGGAGAAGTGGGTGGATTGGTGGATGGATGGATGGATGGATGGATGGATGGATGGAAAACTGGATGGATGGATGGATGGATGGATGGAGAAGTGGATGGATTGGTGGATGGGTGGGTGGATGGATGGATGGGTGGATGTACAGGAGGGAGAGATGAGGGATGGATGAATGGAGGAGGAGTGGAGGGATATATGGATGGAAGGATGGATGATGTAGAGGATGAGTGGGTGGATGGATGGATCGAGGGAGGGAGGGGTGGAGGGATGGACGAACAGGATAGGTGGTGGGTAAGTGGGTAGAAGAAGGGAAGCAGGGATGAATAGATGGAGGGTGGATGGATAGAGGGAAGCATGAAGGGATGGATGGATGAGGGATGGGTGGATGGATGATCTGGGCTCCAGAGAGTTCCCACCTCCTCGGAAGTCCTTGGAGGTCATCAGGGGTTCAGCCAAGTAGCTCCCCCTGGATGCACTGAAATGTTGGTCCCCATAGGGTTCCTTTGGAAAGAAAACAGTTTCATGGCTAAAAGTAGCCTCTGGTGTAATCCAATCTCCACAAATCACAGGTGAAGAAACTGAGGGTCAGAGAGGAGAGGGCCTTTGCCCAGGGTCGCACAGCTGGTTATGCCGACCTAAGACGGCCCCACACCTTCTGACTTCTAGACCAGGGCCACTCCTGCTGGCTCTGCCTTCCAGGCTCCCACCACCGCCTCCTTGTCTGCCAGGGGAAGGAGAAGTTCCTGGGCATCCTGAGTAAGCACATGGAGATCCACGGCACCGTGTACTACGAGAGCCAGCGGCCCCCCGAGGTCCCAGCCTTCGTGAAGAACCACGGCCTGTTGCCGCAGCCCGAGTTCCAGCAGCTGCTGCGGAAGGCGAAAGTGAGCCTGCCCCTCCCCTCCCCCACCCGACCCTCCCTCCCCCGCCGGGCCCTCCCCTCCCCCCTGGGCCCTGTGTCCCCACCACGGGTGGACAGGCCCAGCTCGCCCTGCTGGTCGTGTGTGTGTGCTGGGTGGGGAAGGGAACCTTTGCGCAGTGAGCCACTGGGACACGTCACGTGGCAGCCTTGGGTGGACTCAGAACCGTGTCAGCAGCACCCCTGGGAGTCAGCCCGCGGGCACTCCTAGTACAGTGAGGTGCCGAGCTCACGTTTGGAGGAGGGAGTCCAGGTCCTTTGAGGTCGGTGAGGTGTGGGTCTGAAGCCTCCCCTCCCCTCCAGAGTCAGCCTGTTAGGGCGGGAGAGGCCATTGGCGCTGCCTGATCGGCCCCTCATTTCCCAGATGGGGACATCGAGGCCTGGAGAGGGGACGTGCTTGCCATGGCGCCCCGCTGGGCCGGGTGTCACCCCCACCCCCTCCCCACTGCCTGCTGTGGACGATGTCCAGCCCTGACCTTGCCCGTGGCTCCCTGGGCTGCTGCGTGGGGCCCAGCCCCCCCTGATCATGGCGGCATCTCGCCTCTTCAGCTCTTCATAGGCTTCGGCTTCCCCTATGAGGGCCCCGCGCCCCTGGAGGCCATCGCCAACGGCTGTGTCTTCCTGCAGCCCCGCTTCAGCCCGCCCCACAGCTCCCTCAACCACGAGTTCTTCCGAGGCAAGCCCACCTCCAGAGAGGTGAGTGAGAGGGGCCCTGGCCCCAGGTCCGGGGGGCCCTGCAGCCTGGGAGAGGGAGACCGAGGCATGGGGTGAAGGTCAGGGGTGGGGGCGCCTCCCCGTAGCCCGCCCGCCCAGCGGCTCTGGGAGACGCCGCCCTTGCTCCCCCCAGGTGTTCTCCCAGCACCCCTACGCGGAGAACTTCATCGGCAAGCCCCACGTGTGGACCGTGGACTACAACAACTCGGAGGAGTTCGAAGCGGCCATCAAGGCCATCATGAGGACCCAGGTGAGATGCAGGGCCACGTGGGACCCCCACGAGCCCCCACTGTGGGTCTTCGCTACAATGAGAAAAAGGTGGCCCTCTTGGCGAGTTCAGACTCATGGGCCTGGCTTGGCAGGTGTGACCACCGAGCCCCCTCACCAACGTTGTGTGAAAGGGGAGACCTAAGGCACCAGCCCAGCTGTCCGCCACCGAGAAGAGATTCCCCCTCCAAATGTCACCCTGCCGGCTCCACGCACACCGTGTCACACGGTGACTAAAGGCCCCATGCGAGGACAGCCTCAGTGCTTGTGCCCATGGGCACCAGTCTGTCCAGGGCGAGGCCACTCAAGGTGAGAGGAGGACCACAGGGGCCTGCCTGCGGCGCCTGCCTCCCGGCTGCCTCCCCGCTCTCATTATCTCGGCCGCAATTCCCAGCAGGGCCAGCACCTGCCATTCGGTGGAGACTGATCACCGTGCACACCTGTAATTAGACCTAATGGGGTAATTTCCAGGCAGGCTGCCTCCTCCGGCGGAGATTCGTGGCAGGTGGGACGTGGCGGCTGTCCTCGCACGGGGCCTTTAGTCACCGTGTGACACGGTGTGCGTGGAGCCGGCAGGGTGACATTCGGAGGGGGAATCTCTTCTCGGGGGGTTATTTATAACCAGGGCTTGAAGCCTTGTCCCCAGGAGACGCCCTCCAGCAAGGTCCTGGAACGGCCGGGCCTTCGTGGGCAGGTTGGAACCCGGCTGTGCTCAGGGCTGAGCTTAGGGCTGGAGGCCACCCCCGCGGATGGGTTTGACGTGGTGTCTGGATTTGGGGCCTGCGGATCCTCTGGGAATGGGGAACGGCCTCTGCTCTTAGTGCAGGTGAAGTCAGAACCGGGGACAAGGTCCGGTGGCTGGAGTCTTGTCCTCTGGTGGCCAAGACCAGCTTCAAGGGCAGCAGCAGCTGCTCCCCTGGGACCCTCCTCAGCATAAATGTCGGGATGTCCCGCTGGCCAAAGGCCCCAGGACAGGCCTCCAGGCCTTCAAGGCAGGGTCTGCAGGAAGCAGGACCACCCATCGAGGTCCGAGAAGGGGTCTGACACCACCTCTGATGAGGAGGAAGGAGGGCGGACAGGCCGGGCAGAGCTGTTACATTGACGACCTGGGCGAAACCTACCCGATCTCTGGAGCTGCTGGGAGGAACCCCCTGATGGCGGTGGGCCGGGCCGGGGGTGCAGCACACACGTGTCGAGGCGTGGGAGGCCAGAGGCTGAGACAGACCTTTCTCTGAGCACAGGAGGGGTCACCCCGTCCTTTCCGCTGACGGTCTCCTCCAAGGTGTCTGTGCTGGGCCCGTGAGGGGTAATGTAAACGGGGTGTTAGTCAGTGAGAAGAGGAGGTGGTGTACCTGCTCACGGGAGGTGGACACCCCTTGGTCACCTTTCACCTCTCTCCCCCTTGCCCCCCCTGCCCCGGCGTGGACTGTTTCAGACTCAGATATCTTTACAGACCGTGTGTGGCCTCCGCCTGGGGTCTGTATCTTAGGTAGCTCCCGGGTGCCTGGTCTGGGCAGGATGCTTTACAAAAGTCACCCCACTCCATCCAGCCCCTGGGTTCCTTTGTGTGACTAGTCCATGTCTCGGGCAGGATGCAGGCTGGGCCCGGGATGCTATTGCCTGAGCGCCTGCTGTATACCAGGCGCCGTGCCAGGCAGCAAGAATTCGGTGGTGAATGGCATAGTCCCGGCTCTCAAGGGGCCCATAACCTGAGAGACGGGAAGAAATGGTGACACGGGCTCTGGGGGACCTCTGGGGTTGCCAAGGAAAGTGGGCCTGTAACGGTGGGGGGGGGGGCTCAGGGGCCCAAGAGGCGAGGACCAGTCCCTCTGGGTGGAGGCATCGTAGCCCAGGCCCCGGGAGTGTTGAACTGACTCCAAGGGAGCAGCTCAGTGAGGCCGGGGCCAGCATGGGGAGGGATGACCCGGCCTCGGCCTCCGGGGTCCTGAGCCCCTGGGGGTAACTGGGGAACAGGGATCTGAGCAGGGGCCAGGTGGATGGGTGGTGGCTTCCTGAGCCTCCCAGACCCCCACCCCAGTGCTGAGCATGGCTCGGCCCCGGGCAGTCCAGTGTCCTCCCGCCCGCTGTGTCTGCCTGTCTCCCACAGGTAGACCCCTACCTGCCCTACGAGTACACCTGTGAGGGGATGCTGGAGCGAATCCATGCCTACATCCAGTACCAGGTAGGTGGGCCCTCTGCTCTCTTCTCCAGGGGTGGGCCCCCCCAAACCCTATCGGAACAGGGGAGGGGGCCACGCCAGCACCATTGTCTGAGGAGGCCGCCCCGTCCAGGGCACTGCGCCCATTGAACGCCCAGTTCCTTCCCCAGCCCCCTGCCTTCCTGCCCCTCCACAGCGGGTGGAGGTGGGGGGGTACGTACTGCTCTGGGGGGGCCCGTACTGCTCTGGGGGGGCCCCGCCCACATTACAGTCCCGACCCCGCATCAAACAGCAACACAGGACTTTCCATATTTATATCAAGTTGTTTAAAAGTTTTGCAACTGATTAAGTGAGTGGTAAGTATGGAAGACCCCACACATACCCCCAAGGATGAGCTGGTGGGGCGGGTGGGGGGTTAGGACCTCCGCCCCGAGGGCCCGGGAAGGGCCTGCTGCAGGGAAGCAGGACTCCTGGCCCGGGGACCGGGGCCCGGGGACAGAGGCTCCACCACGCCCAGGCCGAGCGGCTCTCCCGGCTCCAGGTCTCGGAGGTGAAGCCCGGAAGCCAGCTGCGGGGCCTGGCGGGGTCGCGGGACCAGGTTCAGGTGGCTGATGACTACGATATTCAGACAGAGAGTGTGTGGCCTCCGCACTCCGTCCCCAGCCCCGCAAACAGGAGGCGCTGGAGAGTGACTCTAGCCCGTCGCTTCACAGATGAACACTGAGGCCCCAGAAGGGAGGGCGTGTTGGGGTCTGGGCCAGAGCCAGAACCTGGGACTCGGCTGCCAGCCCCCCAAGGGATGTCGTCATGAAGTTCACAGAAAAGCATTTGCTGGGCTTTGTGAGCCCCGGGGTCTGAACCCTGCAGGGAGAACCCCTCAGGCCAGCCCCGTCCCTTCCCCACGGGGGCGCCAGGAGGAAACCCTGGTTCTAACCCAAGTGCAAGCAGCAGCCAGACAGCGCAGGGGACAGCACAGGGGACAGCGCAGGGGACAGCGCAGGGGAGAGCACGGGTGGACAGTGCAGGGGACAGCACAGAGGACAGTGTGGATGGACAGCGCGGGTGGACAGCGCAGGGGACAGCACAGGGGACAGCGTGGATGGACAGTGCGGGTGGAAAGTACGGGTGGACAGCATGGATGGACAGTGTGGGTGGACAGCACAGGGGACAGTGCGGGTGGACAGTATGGGTGGACAGCACAGGGGACAGCGCAGGGGACAGTGTGGATGGACAGCACAAGGGACGGTGCAGGGGACAGCACAGGGGACAGCACAGGGGACAGTGTGGATGGACAGCACAGGGGACAGTGCAGGGGACAGCGCAGGGGACAGCGCAGGGGACAGCACGGTGGACAGTGTAAGGGGACAGTGCGGGTGGACAGTACAGGTGGACAGCATGGATGGACAGTGTGGGTGGACAGTACGGGTGGACAGCATGGATGGACAGTGCGGGTGGACAGCATGGATGGACAGTGTGGATGGACAGCACAAGGGACGGTGCAGGGGACAGCGCAGGGGACAGCACAGGGGACAGTGTGGATGGACAGCACAGGGGACAGTGCAGGGGACAGCGGGCCAGTGCACGGGGACAGTGGACTGATGGACAGTGCGGGGACAGTACGGATGGGCGCATGAATGACATGCGGGTGGACGTCGGATGGGCAGCATGGATGACAGTGCGGGTGGACAGTACGGATGGTCAGCGATGGACAGTGCGGGTGGCGAGGCAGCATGGACTGCGGTGGACAGTACGATTGGCAGCATGGATGGACAGTGCGGGTGGACAGTACGTGATGGGCGCATGAATGGACAGTGCGGGTGGACATACGGATGGGCAGCATGAAGGACAGTGCGTGTGACAGTACGGATGGTCAGCATGATGGACAGTGCGTGTGAGACACAGTAGGATGGGCGAGCATGGATGGACAGTGTGCGGGTGGGACAGTACCGGTGGGCAGCATGAATGGACAGTGCGGGTGGACAGTACGGATGGGCAGCATGAATGGACAGTGCGGGTGGACGAGTACGATGTGCATCATGGATGGCAGGCGGTGACAGTACGGATGGCAGCATGGTGGACTGTGGGTGGACAGTAAGGGATGGGCACATGGAATGGACGTGGCGGGTGGAACAGTACGGATGGGCAGCATGACATGGACAGTGCGGGTGGACAGGACGGATGGGCAGCAGGTAATGGACAGTGCCGGGTGGACAGTACGGATGGGCAGCATGGATGGACAGTGCGGGTGGACAGTACGGATGGGCAGCATGGATGGACAGTGCGGGTGGACAGTACGGATGGGCAGCATGGATGGACAGTGTGGGTGGACAGTACGGATGGGCAGCATGAATGGACAGTGCGGGTGGACAGTACGGATGGGCAGCATGAATGGACAGTGTGGGTGGACAGTACAGGTGGACAGCATGGATGGACAGTGCGGGTGGACAGTGTGGGTGGACAGTACGGGTGGACAGCATGGATGGACAGTGTGGGTGGACAGTGTGGGTGGACAGCACAGGGGACAGTACGGGTGGACAGTGCAGAGACCGACCTGCGTCCCAACCCTGCCTCTGCCTGAGGCCCTGGCAGGTTCCCTGAGTTCCCAGGCTCCCTCTGCTCCCCCTAACACAGCTGGGGGCAATCAGCACCCACTGGTGGGGCTGCTTTGAGGAATAAGGGACACGATGCCCAGGACCCAGCAGGCCGTGGCACTCAGCTCCCAATGCTGACGCGACTGCAGTTGTGGGTTGGCCAGGCCCCACATCCAGCCGGTGGCTTCCCCGCCCATTTGCCCTTCTCACCCTGTTTTCCTCCGGCAGGACTTCTGTGCGGCCCCAGGCCCTGCCCCGCCAGGGCCCCAAGCCCCTCAGAGCCCCTTCGTCCTGGCCCCCAACGCCACCCACCTGGAGTGGGCCCGGAACTCCAGCTGGGCGCCCGGGGCCTGGCCCCCAGTGCGCTCCCTCCGGGCCTGGCTGGCTGCGGCCGGGAGGGCCTGCACGGACGCCTGCCTGGACCGCGGGCTGGTCTGCGAGCCCTCCTTCTTCCCCCTCCTCAACAGCCAGGACGCCTTCCAGAGGTGAGTGACCCAGCCCGCCCCTCATTCTCATGACTGCCTGGCCTCCGGCCCATCACCAGTGGGGGCGAGCGGGGGTGCCCTCTGGTGAGTCAGGAAGGACCAGAGGGACCTTCCAGGCAGGGACCGTGTCATAGTTGCCACACTCTTGGCAAAGCCTCAGCCCCAAACCAGTGAGGGAGCTCCCTGCCCGCCCCTGTCCCCCATCCCTCCCTCAGCATCTTCCAAAGGCTCTTCCTGATGGGTCGGCCTGGCCCCACCCTCCTGGCCACGCCCCTCTCCTCTCCCAGAGGTGGCAGAAGGAGCTCAGGGCCAGGGTTTGTCTTGCTGCCTAGAAAATTCGTCCCCAGTTTGGGCCAGGCTGGCCAGGGAGGGGTGTGGGCGGGACCGGGCTGGGGCAGCGTCACCCTTCCTGCCGAGTGACTGTGCCCGGTGCCCGCCAGGCTGCGGGTGCCCTGTGAGAGCACCGAGTCGGAGATGAGCCACCTGTACCCGGCCTTCGCCCAGCCAGGCCAGGAGTGCCTCCTGCAGCGGGAGCCGCTGCTGTTCAGCTGCGCCGGCTCGAGCACCAAGTACCGCCGGCTCTGCCCGTGCCGAGACTTCCGCAAGGGCCAGGTAGCCCTGTGCCAGGACTGTCTGTGAGGGTCCCCGGCGGGGCCCCTAACACAGGAGAAAGCACCAGCGGACCCCAAGCTCCGGCGACACCCACCCCGCGACTCCCCGGGCTGGGGCTTCTCTCCGTGGCCAGGAGGCCGGCAGAGCAGGCCAGCGCACAGGTGTCGGGAGGGCAGCGTGTCCGAGCGCCTGCCCCCCCCCCCCCGCAGGCAGCCTCCTCCTCATCCCCGGGCCGCGTGGCAACGGCCCGGCCAAGAGGCTGCGGGGTGGTCAGAGGGTCCCCTCGGCCCAGGAGCAGGTGGCCAGAGACCCTGGCTTTGGGCCAGGCCAGACCGGTCCCTCTTGCACACAAGACGGGGTAGGGTGATGCCTGCCTGCCGGCCCACTGAAGGGTCCAGGGAGTGAGGGCTCAGCCTTGTTGGGGTGTGGCCAGAGGGGTAGGGGACTGGCACCCGTTCATGCCTCCTCCTAGCTGTTCCCTTCCTGCTTTTCCAAACTACCCCCTGCTGCCCTGGGACCACAGCTGGAGGTGCAGGGGCCCCCGGCCCTGGGTTGAACTGTGTCCCTCTCTTGCTTGTTCAACTCTCTTCACTTGGACTCCTGAAACCCATCCTGGCATGACTGCGACTCCAGACCATTTGTTCCCAGAGCCTCAGTGTCCCCACCTGCGCCTCGGAGAACAGGCGCTGGGTCCCTTCCCAGCATCTATTGTGGGCGGAGCTTCTGCCCCATCCTCCCTGGCCCAGTTCCTGGCCACCCAGGCCTGCACGCCCCAGGTACGCCCACCCCTCCATGCTGTGCCCATGACCACCTCTGGATTCAACTCTCCACCTCTGTGCGGCCGGCCTGCCCTGGCCCCGGCCCAGCACCCCTTCCCTGAGCCCGCGCCCCGAGCCCTGCCTGACTGAGCAGGTCGGGCCCTCAGAAACACTGCCACCCCATCCTGTTTATAACCTCACTCCCTCCCCGGGCAACCCCAGCTGCCCCTCCACCCTCCGGGGGAGGCAGCCTGGGCCCTGAGAGTCGGGAGGAGGGAGCCCCGCTCTGGGCTGAAGGGGGGGATACCTCCCACCCAAGAGCCCGCTCCGGGCCGGGGCCACCCCGGCAGCCACAGAAACAGCCACCAAGGACCTGACCTTCGGGGGAAGCAATAGAGACGCTCTTTTCTCTCTCTCTTTTTTAAAGATTTATTTCTTGAAACAATAAATATTTTATTGGGATGTGAGGTGCAGAGGGGGAGCTGTGCGGTTTCTCATCTTTTCCTGGGGCGCCCGGGGCTGGAGGGCAAGAAGGTGTGGACTGCCCGGCGGGAGCCCTGGGGCAGGTGTCGGGGCCCGGGCACCCTGCTCGGCCTCTCTAGCCGTGGGAGTGCGAAGTGGGGACACAAAGGGGAGCCCGAGCCAATCCTGCTCCGGAGCCCAGCAGTCCCTGGGCATCAGCTGCTGCGGACACGGGCTGGACTTCGTCATTTTACCTGCTCAGCTGCCTGTTGGGTAGGAGCTCTCATACCCCCGTTGACAGCTGAGGAAACTGAGGAGAGTTGATGTCACCTGCTCCAGGTCACAGCTGGTAAGCAGTGAGGTGGGTTTGCTATAAATTGGGGATGGATTCAAAGTTGCTGTGTCGCCCGAATGACCCAGTGAGTGACAGCCAGCCTGGAGCCCAGGCACGGACGTGCTCAGGGTTTACGGCATCTTGTGTTTAGACGCTCCACAACCAGGGGCTCCCCACTAGCCAAGGGTTCTCTCTGGGCACAGTCCAGCCCCCAGAGGGCAGGCAGCACTGTCTGGAGATAGTTTTTTTTTGTTTTGTTTTGTGTTTTAATATTTTAAAAATTGATTTTAGAGAGAGGAAGGGAGAGGGAGAGAGACATAGAAACATGGATGAGAGAAAAACATCAACATCTATAAGCTGCCTCCTGCATGCCCCCTGCGGGGGGTCGAGCCCACAACCCAGGCATGTGCCCTGACCGAATCGAGCCAGTGACCTCTTGGTGCACTGGACGATGCTCAGCCACTGAGCCACACGGGCCAGAGGTGGTTTTGACTGCCCCCTCTGGGGGGCTAGGAAGTGGTTTGCTACAGGCACCTCGTGGGAAGAGGCTGGGGTGCTGGTCATCATCCACAGTGCAAGGAGGGTCCCCACCGACACAAATGACCCGCCCGGTGTCGGCAGCGTGGAGAAACCTGTTCTGGGCCATGGTCTCAGGTTCTGTCTGGCATGCACCAGTCACGTGATTCTGAGCTTGTCAACAGGTTACTGGACCTCCCCCCCCCCTCCAGCTCTAATTCAGCAGGTCTGGGCGGGGCCTGGGAATTCGGTCTGTAATAAGGGTGCTGCCTCCGCAGGCCCAGGGCCCACACAAACCACTGGACTACTGGCAGGTATTTGAAACGTTTCTAATTGAGCCTTCATTTGTAATTCCTCGATGAATTAGGCTGTGGATCACCGCATGTGCTTACTTGCATCTGTCTTTGTGAGGTGCCTGTTCGGGTCTTTGTCCATTTTTAAGTCGGGCTGTTTGTTTCCTTACTGTTCAGTTTTAAGAGTTCTTTGTGGAGCCCTGGCCGGTTTGGGTCAGCGGTTAGAGCGTCGGCCCACCGGCCAGAGAGTCCCGGTTCGGTTCCCGCTAAGGGCACCTACCTGGGTTGCGTTTGTTCTTGGCTCTGGTTGGGGTTATGCGGGTGGCAACCAGTCGATGTGTCTTTCTCTCTCTCTCCCTCCCGCTCTGTCTGAAGATAAATGCAAAAATGTCCTCGGGTGAGGATAAAAAAAAAAAAAAGTTATTTGTAGAGGAGCCTACTTTTGAATCCTGTCTTAAACCCTTAACGAGGTGGGGTTGGGGGTGTGGGGGTGAGGAGGGGCAGGCTGGCCGGAGACAGAGCAGCCTGACCTGCAGCCCAGATTTAAGGCCAGATGGTGGTGGGAGGGTCCCCCAGCCGCTCAACTTCAGCAGCACCCCACCCTCCCCGAGGAAATCACGGGCACCACCATCCTGCAAGGCGGCTCCCCTTCCCTACAGGTGAGGGAGGAGGTCTGATGAAGCCCTCAGCCTTAGGAAACACCTGCGAGGCTCAGCCATCCCTGACCAGGCTGCTCCAGACCGCTCCAGCCACATTCTGAGTCGGGCTGGACGGCAGAGGTTAGGAAAAGCACAGCGCTCCAGTGTGCAGCTGACCTGAGCCGCCGGCCTTCCGGGCAGCACCGGGGCTCCACTGCCCGCCAGATCTGCTCCGAGGGCCGGGATCCGCCCGAGGCCCAGCTGCAGGGCCTCCTCACAAGCCTGTCCCTCCTCCTCCCCCTCAGGCCCCAGACCAGAAGCAGCACTCTGGGCCAAGAGGCTGCAGCTGGGAGTAAGTCGGGATGAAGAGGAAGAAGCTGGGGCCAGCCTGGGGCCGGGGGGGGGGGGATGAAGAGGAAGAAGCTGGGGCCAGCCTGGGCCCGGGGGGAAGAACACAGCCGTGCTGGAGGCCGGGGCGGGAGGGAGCGTGCTGGAGGCCGGGGCAGGATCAGGAGCCTGCTGGAGGCTGGGGCGGGAGGGAGCCGTGCTGGAGGCCGGGGCAGGAGGGGGCCTGCTGGAGGCCGGGGCAGGAGGGGGCCTGCTGGAGGCCGGGGCAGGAGGCCGGGGCAGGAGGGAGCCTGCTGGAGGCCGGGGCAGGAGGGGGCCTGCTGGAGGCCGGGGCAGGAGGCCGGGGCAGGAGGGAGCCTGCTGGAGGCCGGGGCAGGAGGGGGCCTGCTGGAGGCCGGGGCAGGGGGGAGCCGTGCTGGAGGCCGGGGCAGGAGGGGGCCTGCTGGAGGCCGGGGCAGGAGGCCGGGCCGGGAGGGAGCCGTGCTGGAGGCCGGGGCGGGAGGGAGCCGTGCTGGAGGCCGGGGCGGGAGGGAGCGTGCTGGAGGCTGGGGTGGGAGGGGGCCTGCTGGAGGCCGGGCCGGGAGGGAGCCGTGCTGGAGGCCGGGCCGGGAGGGAGCCGTTGCTGGAGGCGGGGCGGGAGGGAGCCGTGCTGGAGGCCGGGCGGGAGGGGCCTGCTGGAGGCCGGGGCGGGAGGGAGCGTGCAGGAGGCCGGGGCGGGAGGGAGCCGTGCTGGACGGCCGGGGCGGGAGGGAGCCGGCTGGAGGCCGGGGCGGGAGGGAGCGTGCTGGAGGCCGGGCGGGAGGGAGCCGTTGCTGGAGGCCGGGGCGGAGGGAGCGTGCAGGAGGCCGGGGCGGGAGGGAGCCGTGCTGGAGGCCGGGGCGGGAGGGAGCGTGCAGGAGGCCGGGGCGGGAGGGAGCCGTGCTGGAGGCCCGGGCGGGAGGGAGCCGTGCTGGAGGCCGGGGCGGGAGGGAGCCGTGCTGGAGGCCGGGGCGGGAGGGAGCCGTGCTGGAGGCCGGGGCGGGAGGGAGCCGTGCTGGAGGCCGGGGCGGGAGGGAGCGTGCAGGAGGCCGGGGCGGGAGGGAGCCGTGCTGGAGGCCGGGGCGGGAGGGAGCGTGCAGGAGGCCGGGGCGGGAGGGAGCCTGCTGGAGGCCGGGGCGGGAGGGAGCGTGCAGGAGGCCGGGGCGGGAGGGAGCGTGCAGGAGGCCGGGGCGGGAGGGAGCCTGCTGGAGGCCGGGGCGGGAGGGAGCCGTGCTGGAGGCCGGGGCGGGAGGGAGCCGTGCTGGAGGCCGGGGCGGGAGGGAGCGTGCAGGAGGCCATGGCCTAGCACCCTTCCCCAGAACCAGGAGGCGGAGCCCTGCAGGGGGGCTGGCGGAGGCCGGGGCATGTCCAGCTCTGCTTCCCTCTCCTGGCCGGACTCCCTCCTACTGGGGCAGGGCCGGTGGGTTTGCCCCCCCCATCCTGGCACCAAAGCTACCCCCTCCTTTTGGTTGACTTCAAGGGCCCCTCAAAACCCAACCTGCTCTGCAGGACCTCACCTTCTTTTGCACGTGTGTCTCCTCTGTGTGATGGAAAGCAGGTGATCCTAGGACACGTGGGGGTTGAGGGTGAATCGCGTTTAGGCCGCTACCTCTCGGGGTACGAGGTGTGAGGTCATGTGTTCGGTGACTGGGAGCTGTGGGCCGTGGACCTCCGAGTGCCTCCGGGTGTGAGGACCTCCTCACTCCTTCCTGGCAGGTGAGGGTCCAGGGGTAGCAGCTCCCAGCCTGCGCTGCTCAGACTGGAC